AGCCTGCTTCTCCCTCTCCCACTCTCCCTGCTTGTGTTCCCTCTCTCGCTGTCCCTCTCTCTGTCAAATAAATAAATAAAATCTTTAAAAAAAAAAAAAAAAGAATCTCAAAGGAAGGTCTTTTTATCCCTCTTTTGCTCAGAGAATTATATTTGCTAGTGGTTTGTAATCCTTTCTTCAGGTCTAGAATACTGTGGTATCTTAAAACACAGGGGTAAGCGCTGTGTTTGCAAAACGCAGATTTCTCTAAGCCCGACAGTATAATTCTAACATGACATTCTGGGAACACAGCGTCATTTTCTCGTGCTTTTTTGTGGCCAGAACTAGCATCAGGCTTCTCCTACAACTTCCTATCACGTGTCATCATCAAGGCACATATTAATATTTTTACATCTTTTGTTTGTAAAAATCTGTCGTGTAGCCGAATTTGCACATGATTAAAGACACAGGGTCAAGCATAGAGTCTATCACAGACTCTCTACTTAGCCTTTTAAATCTGAGCAGAAGTCCGCAGCAGCATGCCCCCATCTCTGTCCCTTCTGAAAGTGGAGGTGAGGATGTTGCTCTGTCTGCCTCGTTAAGATACTGGGTGAAGCCCTTGGAAAAATGACACGTCTTCCAACGGTCTCGAGGTTATTGGTTTTTTTAAAGATTTTACTTATTTATTTGAGAGAGAGAGAGAGAGCAGAGGGAGCGGCAGGCAGAGGGAAAAGCAGGCTCCCCGCTGAGCAAGGAGCCCAATGTGGGACTCGATCCCAAGGTCCCTGATGCCCTGAGCCGAAGGCAGACGCTTAACCCACTGAGCCACCCAGGTGCCCCTAGTGGTTATAATTAGGATTGGCTGCCTGAACTCACTGGAACACAGTAGAAATAAACAGAAGTGTAAGTATTAATATGTTCTTCATCGCAGCATCCTGCTAGATTTCATTTCATGAAAACCCATTTGTTTTATTTTCAAAATTCTCCACCTAGATTATGTGCCCTGCCCTCAGAGTTCTCTCCTGTGCCCAATGTGACCTTTCCTTCTCCTGATCACTTTATAAACGCTAATTGTTTTCCTTTAGCAGAGCCTCATGGGACCAAGAATAAAGCCAAGAAGGTTACGGGGTGGCACACAAAATGAAAACACGGAGGAAAAGAGGACGAGTTTTTGTTTTGTATTTTCCCCCCGAGGACTGGAGTAAAGACATGAGATTAACGTACATCTGCTTTGTGTGTGTGTGTATGTGCGTATGTGTAATGTCTTTTAGGGGGAACTTGAACGGCAGCTTTTGCAAGCAAATCCAATTCTGGAATCATTTGGAAATGCGAAGACTGTGAAAAATGATAATTCATCTCGCTTCGTAAGTTTGAAAGCACCAGAAACTTTTCATTTCTCTGATGTCTAGTTAAATGTCTAGTGTGATTAAGCAGCCAGAATACTTCTCTTCCTGGATTTTAGGGAGAGGCTAATAGATGTAGGATAGAGCAGTAGAAACGTGATGAGTCTCATGTAATTTTAAATTTTCTCGTAGTTGCATTTTTAAAAAGGAAAAAAAATGGGAAAGTGATTGTAGTGGTGTAGTTACCGTATATAATTATACTGTGCGGGTAGATGACTTCGTCTTCAGGGCTGATCTGTAGTACTTCTTGCGGGCCCAGCGTGGCGATGAAGTGAGGTGCACGTGGAGGACTTAGCACACAGCACCACTGGGAGTGTCCGTGCTCCACAAACAGAGTTGGTATTCAATGTAGTCACTTGTCCTGTTGATACTCCCTGTTTCTCCAGGATACGGACGTCAGAATAATGGGTCAGTACTGTGCCTTCTCTGTAAAAATTCTTCTCAGCTATTGGGCTTTGTTAGTTCTGGAGAGCTTCCCTCTCTCCGTCCGTTGGACCATCTATCCCAGAGTGCCTGAGGCTGTCCTCCTAGGTGTTGGCCAGATGGGCCTTCTTGCAGGAACCCTGCACTCCCTGTCCAGCAACTCGTCGACATGTCGGTGGCAGATCTGCTCTAGAACCATATGCAGCGAAATGGGGCCCGCCCCGCCGTCCATCTTTTGCCCTGGATTATAGTCCTCCAGATTCAGTAACTGTTTCCACAGTGAGATTGGAGAGGGTCTTCGATTTCAGTTATTTCTGCTTAAATCGTTGAGAGTTAATTCTCTGTTTTTCCTCCCTCCTGATATTAGAAGTATTTGTAGAAGACGAGACACTTCTGTTCTGATGACTCCTTGATGGGTAGTTTTGGGGGAATCTAGTACCAGTGGGCTGTACAGTTTTCCTCTGAGAATGTAAAGTCATGGCGTTCACATTGACTTTGTGACCGCACAGAATGGGTGATTACTGGAAGTTACCAGATACGGGCTCACAGAGGACCCGGTGAACCCAAAGGTAGCCAGATAACCCTCTGTCTGAGTCTGCCAGGGCCGCTATAAAGAGCACCCCAAACTGGGGGCCCTAAACAGTAGAGCTTGATTTTCTCACTCTTGGAGGCTGGAAGCCCAAGACCAAGGTTGTGGCAGGGTTGGTTTCTTCTGTGGCCTCTCTCCTTGGCTTGTAGACTGCCACATGGGCCTCCCTCTGCGTGCCCCTGTGTCCTCTTCTCTTCTTTTTTTTTTTTAATTTTTTTTTTTATTTATTTGCGAGAGAGAGAATGAGAGACAGAGAGCATGAGAGGGAGGAGGGTCAGAGGGAGAAGCAG